TCAAGAGTAAATATTCGTACGTAAACTAAAGTTAGAAATGATTGAATATAAAGGCATGGAATTAATTTCTACGACCTAATACCATGTCTTTGTAATTAGAGGGAGAAAGAGCACGCTAATTTATCAATAAAATTAATTCTCCATTGTAATAATTTTGACAAGTCATGCAAAAACTTGCACTGTCTTTATCTATTTTATTTTTTATAAGAGAGGATAAGTGGGTTAGGAAGACAATTAACACACTTACAGGTCTCTTAATGTTCTAAGCGAAGTATGTTCGTTTCGCTGATGATTAAGGAACTTTATGCCAAGCATCTTTTGATTTCAAGTCCTCGTCAGGTGCTAAAGAGCTTAATGCGCCATCAATAAATAGTACTTACAAGTGCACGAAACAAAGAAAACGCGAAATAACGGGTAAAATTGTTGGTTCCTCCTTGTTTTAGAACATATGAAATTCAATGTCCTAATTCCAACACGCCACGAACGAAATGATTCGTTAGAAGAACATTCGCCGATATAATAATTTGCGGCGTTCAATTAAAATCTGTATCTCGAATCTTCGGAATTTATTAACAATAATTGGTTTTCACGTTTATCAAATTCTTTGGGCGTTATTGCTAACGACGATTTAATTTCTCATTTTCAATGAGACCAAATCATACATTATTTATTACATTAGCTTGATATTTCAGGCTAATTTGAAACTTTTCGAATAAATTGATATTTAATGTTTTACTAACTGGTGATTCTAACGTTTTATCGCTGTTCCAATAGGAACATATTAAAATGAACATTTCAAGCTTTCAACGAGGTTATTAAGGCTTTATTTCGATCTAAAAAGATGTATACATAACGAAAAGTCACAAGGAAAATATACTTAATGTTATGTGGAACGTAAATAAAATAATAAAAAGATGTGGAAAAATAGATGTTTCGAAGGCTACGTGTCATACTTATACTCATACTGTAGTAAATATCGTCACATTTATGTGTAAACGAAAACTATGGAGTTTATACAGACTATTTAAAAATCTTATTATTCAAAAGGGATGGTAATACAACAAGAGACTTAAGTAGTACTTTGATTCCCTTTGAAACGCGTGTAACACATTCTTCGTAAATGCTTCTTAGTTTCTCTTGGCAAGAACAAAGGAACTCCTCTTAGGCACTTCTGCTCTTCTTAAGGTACAGCCAAGAGGCTGTTCATGCGTAGTACTTGAATTGTTATTAAGTAGGGGGTTGAAAGATTCCTTGGCAGTTGTTTGATCGTGTAGGATACTCTTTGGTTGCCTTTAGGTAAAAATTTTGGAGTAGACTTCTCGATTTCACTTCGAACCATTCCTGTTTCATTCTTTTGTACGTTTTGTGGCACTAATTTGTTTGTTTTGTAAGTTTTGTGGCAGTTGTTGTTCACAGTTGCGTGACTCGTTACCATGTTCATACTTTAATGCGAGAAAATGGCTGGTAAATATTTCTATTTAAGCGAGAGTTACAAACAGGAAGATAAATAATGAATAAATAATATATGATTGAATATAGAGGCACAGAATTAATTTCAACACCTAATACATAGATTCATTATAATGGAAATCAGGTTGGGAACTTGGAAGATTGCTAATTTACCCCAGAAAGTCTCGTGCAAATCTTTTTACCCAAACTATAGTTATAAATAGACTGCAGAAGCTTATGCAAATGCATATTTTTATAGGAAATAATTAAAAGAATGGGACCTAGATAGAAATTTCTTTTGAAATTCGAATACTATAAAGTATTTTATATATGTGTACACAGCGAATATTCTGTAACATGCAAATATATTACTTATTATACTACATTTTATTCAAATTTGTCGTGCATATTTTGCATATTTTTCGTGCATATTTTGGATAATAAACTTCCGCAGTATAGTTATAAACTATTGAATATAAAGTTACGAAATTCGTTTCTGCACCAAGTATATAACAAGAAAAAATGTCTCCTCACGCATTATCAATGGCATTCGGTAGGTCCATTCATTTTTTCGTGAATGAAAAAATTCGCGCAAAATTGCGGTACACGAGGTCTTTGACCTCGTTACGATGATTCCCGATAGTTTCCACTGTCTGGACCGAATGCACGCGGATAGTCCGATGAGAAAGAGGCCTTGAGCACTCTTCTGGGTGGGTGCGTTGAACTTACCGTCGCATTCCGTATTGATTTCGGTGGCACTGCGCGACTGGAGCCAGACGTTACCTACGGCACGTGTCCGCGTAGGGCAGACACGCCCAATCCCCCAGCATCGTACAGGGATCGCAGGAGCAGATAACACAGAAATCGAAAGGATCTCTCGGAAAAACTACATCACTTTCACTGAAAACGACTAATAACCAAAAGTAGCGACATAAGCGGCTTACATTTTTCTTTTGGCAGAGACAGAGTCTTACAGGAGGTCTCGAGGGACCTAGGCTAGGATGATAGGATAAAAGAGGGATCGGAGGAATAGGTACTCCAGAAATCGAGAGGATCTCTTGCAATTCTTGGAAAAACTACGCCACTTTCACTGGAAAAGAGTCGATGACTACAATGATCTCTTGGGAAAACGACATCGCTTTCACTGAAAATGGCTAAGCCTTACACGAGTAAGGTCTCGGAGACTTAACGCAGGATCATAGGACGAAACAGAGATCGCAGGAGCAGATAGAGCAGAAATCAAATGGATCTCTCGGAAAAACTACATCACTTTCACTGGAAAAGGGTCGATGACTAAAAGCTGAGACGTAATCTATTAATCATTATCCCTATGCCAGATGGAGCATAGTAGGACGAAACAGAGATCACAGGAGCGAATAGAGCAGAAATCGAGCGGATCTCTCGGAAAAACTACATTACTTTCATTGAAAATGGCTCAGCCTTACACGAGTAAGGCTCTAGTTAGACATGTTAGATCTCGAAGACCTAACCCAGGATCATAGAACGAAACAAAGATAACAGGAGCAGATAGAGCAGAAATCAAATGGATCTCTCGGAAAAACTACATCACTTTCACTGGAAAAGGGTCGATGACTAAAAGCTGAGACGTAATCTATTAATCATTATTCCTATGCCAGATGGAGCATCGTAGGACGAAACAGAGATCGCAGGAGCGGATAGAGGAGAAATCGAGAGGATCTCGTGGAAAAACTACATCACTTTCACTGAAAACGGCCGATGACTAAAGCCAGCGACATAATCGGTTAATCATTATGCCGATGGCACGGAGCCTTACGCAAGGTCTTGAAGACCTTGAACGGGGACCTTATTTGGTAAGCAAGGTCGAGGCTTCGCGGACCATTGGGTTTTCAGGCCGGCCACAATGCGCTCCACCTTACACGGATATCATTCTTCCTATTGTGGACTTGTCGCGATAATTAAGCTCTCGATCGCAAAAGTAAATACGGAATGGCTGCCACGATACCAGTTCGGTCAACGAAGGTTGACGTCAACGCGTGTTGTTACATTACAGACTAGCGAAACGGTTTGGAATTACGTTGGTTAATTTAACTTGTGACGAAGTCGATTATATTGATTAATGTGAAATGTGACAAAGTGTATTTCTAATAATAATAATAATAATAATACATGTTTGTTATACCGCGCTTCTGTTGTAACGAACTATATTTACAGTAAAAATAATAATGCACCGTTCTTATACCAAGTTTTTGTTGTAAAAAACTATACAGGGTGGTCCAAGTATATGTAACAAGTCATAACTTCGTTATTAGCGCGCTCAGAGAAAAATGTCAAAGAGAAAGATGAATGATTCAGTCCTAGGTTGCATTAATTTCTTTTAAATGGAAATGCATATTTTTTTTTATAAATTGAACCCCTTCGTCATTCTACGTAAATAAGTATTAATAATTAATTCATGAATCATAATTACCAAATTTGAATTGTATCCAAGGCCCTTTTCTCCGTCTCTCTATTAAGCAGACACAGTCTAAAAAAAATTATCCAATATTAGAATAACCCAGAGGGAAGTGACACATAACTTAGAGATGTATCCAATATAGGACCGTGGGATTCTAGTCCGTTAAGTTGGAAATCCGTTAAATCGAAGTTTTACCGTATCCCATTTTTTGTTGGTTACCGTTCCAACCCAGTGGAATAGAGTACTATAAAAGTAACGTCGTGAAGCATCGTTTCTCATACTTTTTTTTATTCACAATCATCCTTCTCGCGATATATTTACAGTACACTTTAATTTTTTAGGGCTCGACACAAGAATAATACTTGCGTATACAAACTTTATTTACTTCGTTTCATTTTTCTAAAACTTTTAATTATAATTTGGGACACAGAATTATACATTAAAGTACGAACCTTCTAAGTACTTAACCTGATCTCTATTACAATGTATCTACCCACACACAATTATTATTTATTAAATATTATTATTACTATTATAATTATTAAATGTTATTCTAGAATTGTTATAACTACTTGTTATACTTATAACCTGTAGAAGAGAAATAATGAGCAAAATTGTATGTACTTCGTATATGTAGATACATTAGCCATCAAGTTGAGCCTTAGAAAATGAATATTTGGACGTAACAAAATGACGAATGAACATTTTTACTTAAACTAGAATTATAAAAAAGAAATAATACATAATTGAATATAAAGGCAAAGTTTCTTATTCGCCATCTAGAACGCACATAAAAATATGCTCATCTGCGTGGATTTCTAGTCGAGCAAGCTTTTCCTTTAATATGTCCAGTAATTAAATAAAAATTTTCAATTCAAAGAATAATAATATATTAGTTCAAGTAGTTCTTTTGGATAAATGAATCATTTTTACACGGAAATATACACTGCATTATAGAAAGTCAAAAGGAATTCTCAATTTAGGGAGATTTCAAGTGCATCTACCAAGGATATCACAAGCATGTGACAGTTGGGCACTGACTTGAATGTGTCGAGGTTAGGTTAGACTCCAGCAAGGCAGCCCATCCGCCCATGTGGCACATTAGTCATCGTCGTGTATTTAAATTTCACGCACACACCACGTAGAACGATTACTTTTAAAAGGCATGAATAACGTAAACGTCGTGCACTTATAAAATTCTATGTAACAATAAGAAAAAAAAAGGATAGAATGCAGTAATTTGAGAAATTCGCATGCACGAGAAGCGAGTGTAATACCCGATACGATTTCTTGTCAGACACAAATGATTCATCGATTGTGTCATCGAAGTACTATGTATTTCGTCAAAGAGGCGTGACAGGTGTATATCATAAAAGCATTATGACTTTTTACAACGTGTAACAAGAACCATGTTTATTTAATGCATTCTTCGAGTAAACACCGATAAATAATAAGTAGACATAAGAAATTGAAGTAAAAAATGAAATTCAGAACGCTTCTGGCATTTCTGAAGAAACTCCAGTAATAAACGACTATAGAAAATCCGTCGTAAAATAGTTAAAAAAAAATGTTCAAACCTGTCAAAGATTTGTGAAAGATATCACTAAGACGTAATCATAAACTTTTCTTTGAAGTCATAATCTCTACAACAATTATGTACGTCAACGTGCAATAATGACATATCTATCATACATCAGTAAAAATTCTACTGGTATCTACAATACTGTAATTTAATTATGGGAAGTCGTGATAGCCATATTCGATAAAAAATATTATATTCAACAAATAATTTTGTAATACATATTATATATTATATATATATATGAACATATACACATATTATATATATGTATATATATATATTCATGTATATTATATATACACATACACTTTCAAAACTAATTAAAATACTTTCCCAATACATTTAAATCCTACATTCACAATTTGTCCAAAACAACGTTAAAAAAAATTACTATTTAGCAAAATTCAAGTGAAAGCCACGAGTCGTAATCCAAATTCTAAAATTGTGCAAATGTACAATTATATGTTTATTAAACAACGCGTGGAACGAGCGTACTTTGACGTTTTCGTCACCACGTGGTTTCCCGTCACAAGTCCGGTTTGCTGTAGTAGACTGCACGACATGCGTATCGATTTTGAAGCAGACACTGCACTCACGTACACTGTAGCATCTCCCCATCGGACGAACACAAACACAGCGAGATGGGATCGTAGCGTAGGGCTTATGTGACATGGACTAGTCCAGTGCACCCTTATCCGCGCCCTTGAGTCTATTTTTAGCTTCTGTTTCATGAAAAAGGCGGCCGAGATGGCACACACCGCATATTAAGTGGGAGGATGTGAAACAACTTCGTTTGGTCATTCAACGGGAGCTTTTCTTTCCCTTTTTTTGGAAAAACACATACGTCGTTTTATTAACAAACATCATCTGCCCTACTGCAAAGAGAAATCTGACGGTTGGATATACGTACTACGTAATCAGACCTGACCCAGTGACGATTTTAGTCTGTTCTTGCAAATTGCACTTCTGCAGAATGAATTTCAACTAGTAGTATGTGTGATGTATTGTAATGTGAATGTTGGATGAATGTTAATATTTAAAACCACTACGTATGTTTATACGTTTTATAGTTGTCAGTTATGTTTGTGTTAGTAATTTATTGATTATTCATTCATTTTGTATTTTGTATTGCGATTTGATTTTGTCTATGATATGTTGTCTGTTGTCTTTGAATTTTGACAGTTTTACGTCGAACCTCGAAATAAATATCCTTACATATCGTAGAAGAGAAGGAAATTGTAGGATTGGTACCGAGACTTTTTATAAATGAATATCAATACTACGTTATTCCTTCACGAGTATTTTGACAAGTTGTGTGAACGTGTTTAAAAACACGATAAATAATCTGCTAATTTTTCGTTTCCTTTGAGTTCACCACTCCCTTAGAGTATCCCATTCTACCTGACTCAGAAATATACCTGGAGGAAGGACAGACGAAATTCTTGGAATCATTTGAGCAATGCTCGTCACATTACGTGCAAGATACGTGCATCGCGTTTATTGCTTGCATAGCAATATTCTTATCGATACAGTTAACGATTCGATGAAGTTTTAGTTTTTAATACTCGTGAAACTTACGTAAAATCCTACAATGGAAAGAAAGCAGGAAGCTACACTTATATGCATTATGTCACAGACGAGATAAGTGACATACGGATTCGTTTATTATTTAAACGTATTTGTAAACTATTTAAGGATTTCTGGAATTATTTTAGTAAAATAAACGTACCGTGCATAATTGTAATGAATAAGACGAATATGTTGAATGTAGTGAGTATGATGAACATGATAAATGTAATAGACGCGGTGAATATGATAGACACAATGAATATGATGAATGTCATCAGTGTGATGGATATAGTGAATATAGTGAATATGTAATTATATAGAACGATTCGCTGATATCGAAAAGAGATAATTATTTTTTGATGAAAAGAATGCTTATTATATTCCTATCTGTGTTTTCAGTTACATGAAAATTTTATTAAAAATGTACGCTGCAGATTACGCGCAAGCATGCATTAAAAACGATTCCGGGACTGGCGTTAGGGGTCCCGTTAAATAAAAGAAAATGTTGACGATTACAAAGTATGTAACGAAACTTTTTTCTGACTCATCTTATACCTACTGCCGGTACTGGTTCGCACGCGCGCGCACACACAAAGAACGTCGTAATCTTCGCATACATTTGTACGCACACTACCACAAGAAGCTCTGACGGTTAGTCAGGAAAGCCCTTACGCTAGTGTACGCTTCCAGAAGGCATTATGCTCCCCGTATCGTACAGTTTGAAGCGGCATTTGGAGAATCTAGCCGGCAGCCGGCCAACGGACCAATCACCGAGCCGCTTTCGTTTTATGCCCATATATGGCAAGAGCTGTGAATCCGCGTAGTGGGGGCAGCCGGCTGGGCGATTCCATTCCGAGACAGGGGTGTTCCATGAAAATGATATCGTGAAATACGACGTTAAAATAAACAAATGACCGTAAAATCATCGATTAATCGAACCCTTGTTCCACGACGAATTATGTTTTATCCGTAAATTTGAGAAACACGACGAAAAAACATGCGATACGCACGATCGTTTGGAACAGTAACAGCGTGTATGCCGACCACACCTTTAGGCGAGTCCATATGACACGGTACCGGCCACGATCTCGCTCACAGTGCTTGCAACTCGCGGCTCTCGAGTCTCGTTTAGTCGTGCCGATAGTAACCTCGCAGTGCACCTTTCCCGATTAACAATCGACCATTTCTCCGGTTGCTTTCCGTTTCGAAGGGTGAGTACTCGTACAATTTGTTGTGTTTCGTTTAAGTTTAGTATTAATTCGATGCGTTTCGCGGCGATCTGTCATAAAATTTCAACGCCGAAATGATTGAGGACAAATGCCGGTTAAACGAAGCAGCCATGATGGCAGGGCGTTGCTCTCGTGGTTTCGAATCACGGCGACGTAGCGTCGGTTTTCTGAAAAAATTCACATTTTACCGTGATTACTGTTCGAAAAGAGAGATCGTACCGGAACGATCCGACAGGTTGTCGTTGTCAAGTGGTTCCTGACGTGTACGCTCTACGAGGCAGGTGGTCGCGACGCGGTCGTTTATTAATAGCAGTATACTGTAGAGGTAGAGCGTTACGGCACTAACCTACGATTATGCTTGCTCGTACTACGAAATACCAGCACTAAATCTGCCACCGGTTGAGAAACTAGAATATTAACGGACGTAGAAATATCGACGACGTACTTATATCCTATAAGACGCTTCGGAGTGTGAGTATATGCTTTAACGTTACTTCGAGGTCATTGCCTATAATCTTCTTTTATTATTTCTATCTACGCGCGTGGTAAAAGTATCGATAAAACTCGTTTGAATTTTACAAAATACATTACCGAAGTACAAAAATGGTTAGAATATTAACTCAAACAGTAACAGTGATGGGCAAAATTCTAGGCTTCGAATAAATCTGAAGTTTACCGATATGTTTGTCTCGTTCCTTCTGTTGAACATTTTCCAAAGAAGGAAACGAGAGAAACACATCGGCAAACTTCAGATTTATTCGAAGCCTAGGGTTTTGTCCATCACTGAACAGTAACTAGTCGTCACATATTAACACCTTCAATCAATTCCCTTATAACGCATGAAAGTTCAGCGCGATACTGAAACGAGAGCGCTGGAATCGTGTGATTTATGCATATTTAGCTCGCAAGGGAAGTAAAGAAAGGAATGTATGCCTGTATGCCGGAAACGATTATTTATTGTTCGAATGAAAAAAAAAATCGGTCGACATTGAATGTGATCGATGCAGAACTTTCGTAGCGGGGGGAAAAAGAGAACATTGGTAAGATCGAAGATGTGCGGTTCGGTCAATTTAGTGGATGCATTCACGAAGGGTGGTGAGACACACTTCGAATGCTCGGTGAAGGGCGTGGGGGAATATAGCGGGGAGGAGGGGTAAACCCCTCCGTGGCAGAGCACTTCCATATATGGTAAAGAAAGCCAGGATTGGCCGAGGGTGTCCTGCCCTTATTGGCCGATCGTTGGGTAGTGGGGGCCTCGAACAACGACTCTGTTCATATAATACACCGCGAGCCGGCTGTCAGCTACACTCTGTGTTTGGTGCTAGATCAGTCGGTTGTGCAGCAGTGTCACATCCAGAGACCCGGAGCTCCCTAACTTGTACATACAATTTTTTTTTATACGAAACTTAAAAAAAAAACGTAAGTTACCATCCCAAAGTTCAGTGATACTTAAATCATATTATCATTAGATCGAACGAAATTAAACGAACAGTGCTACGGATCATAGACAGTGTGTGGGCGATAGCTAAAACGGCTGGTGGTCGCTTTGTACGTCCGAACGTGGATTTACGAATTGAGTGGGTGGCGTTAGGCGTAACGTACCATTGTGGTGCCATATTTAGTGTGTTTTGTGTTGCATTCCCTAAATCGCAATAGGATTAGTGTACGTTTTGCGGTAAAATCGTTCGAATTTACGCCAGTGATTGCGTGTGAACGAAACGGATCCTTTTCACGGAGATATGCCGGTTTTACGTTGTAGAGAATTCTGCGAACGAAATATCCGCTATATCGTATTCTGTCAAAGTTCAGATTCGTTATTTCTTTCGAGCTCTATCGATTCAAGCACCGTGTTTAATCCTGGATTCGTAACATTCTATTGAAATTCGCTGTTTGAAAGCATATGCCGGATATTGACCGTTTAACGCCGGGGAAGGGCGGGGCAGGGTGTGATTCAGTAGCGGCGGTTTACGGAACGTCTAGAACCTTCGCGATTCTGTTTTTCCATAAATGCTTTTTACTTTTTGTAATATATGAAACTTATTATTTTTTTTGAAACTATTAAATATATTAGCTACTTGCATTTACTTTTTCTTATCTGAATGGCATAATGGATGCTACGTGTCTCACGACGCCATCTTGAAAATATTTGAAATGTTGCTTCACAGCACATGGCATTTACCGAGCCAACCACTTTCATTGTACAAGAACGAATAAATAAGTTCGCGTCTTTTGAAATCTTACTTCTATATTTGGTTGTATGTTAATATTTTAATTGGTAAAGGTTAACTGCATTATAAATTATGGAGCACAACTCTTAATAAGAGATTGTATTAACAATTTATGTACAAGACAAGCTTTTCAGTTATTCTTCTGCTATAAATAAAATTTTTAAAACAAACTCCAACTGTCTCTAAACACAGT